TGAGAACTTGCTCCTGTGAAGTCCAAACTCCGCTTGATGTCAAAGCAATGTTGACAAGTTCAATGGAAGGTGTGCAGGATAGCACTTACTTTTTTAAGGTCTTGGCCCCGGAACTGGAGTGAGGTTGCAAGAAGAAGGAAATCTTGTTGAATTTGGGCTGATTTTTCTGCAGATGAAGTAAAGAATGCATGAATGGTTATTGGTTTCACAACATCCTTTAAAATAGCAAAGCAAAACTTGGAAGGTTAATTGGGACACAAAGATGCATTTTTGAGTGTTTGAGAAATAAAGATTTCACTGTATACCCTTATGAAGAACCCATCACTTTAGTTATCTGGACAACAATGACAGCCCAGGGCAGAGAAGCAACCTGGCAATACAGTGATTCGTATTACAGAGCGCCACCAAGAGAATGACACAGAGAGGCCTTTTTGCAATGCACTGTGGGAAACTGTCGAGAAATTTCGTACACTGACAGCATGCAGAGAATTTGAATAGTTGTTAATGTTCCATTGGGCAGAAAATTCATAAATTATTTCACATATCGATTTCATTCAATTCAGATGGTGTTTTCTGTGCAATCTGTGTTTTCTGTGCTGCAATCCAAACTTTGGAACTCGTAAACCCTTCTAAATATCCATTAATATTTGTGTTTTGTCAACAGTAAATGTGAACAAATGGCCTCTCCATGGCAATTTCATGGCGGAGTACTGCATTCTGAATTGTCCATATTTAACCACTTGCCAAAGGTAACACTGGGCATCTCACATGTACCAGGCACCGTACTATTTTTGGCCAAAAATACCGACTTTTAAAAAAACAAAGTAATATAACCATAGTTCTTTACCATGCTGAACTTTGCAAATGCTGACCTGTGGCAGTCATTTGCTCCAGATTTCTGTCACATCTGTCACCATATCCTCACTTTCTAAAAATCCTTGACACTGTCGTGGAGCAGTATTTGATACAATGTCCGGCTGTGGCCCAAGCCCCTTGAGAGCTTCCCACATGCTCAACCTCCACACAACTAGTTCAAGCTTTTGCGTGTGTACAAATTCAATGGGAATCACTTAGGCATGTGGACGAGTATGGGCTCCTACTGGAACCAAGAGAGGGCGCAATTTTCACAGCAACAAAGGCTTCTTTGGTGGATACACTGAAAGCGGGTGGGAAACGCACTTCGCCAGTTCATAAATGGCTATGAAATGCACGTGTTGTGGTCCCGTCGCTACCAACACAATGAACACTTTCCACCAACATGGCTCTTTCCAACCAATAAGGGAGTGCTTCTGCTCAAGGTGGATAGATGCAGGTGGCATATGTGACCACACCCTCTGTGTTTTGATATATGGGTAATTCCAGAAAGTAGGGGTCCATTTTTTTTTGAGCACCTCTCACATCTGACATATGATTTTGTAAGTTCGGAACATGTTTTCTAATTTCCAAGAGTGATGAATTTATGCAAATTACCTGCTAAACAAATAGGAATAGTTTGAAATCAATTCCAGTGATATTTCTATGTCAAATAACAAAGGTCAGATGCAACACGGACACAAAAATGTCATGCTTTTGGACCCCTAATTTCTGGAATTACCCCTATGGAATCCCTGTGCATTAAAATAACACCTGGAATGAGACAGTACAAATAAAAATGGTGCGCACCTCCACAGTGATGTCCGTCACCCACTGGGGGACCGTCTCCAACAGCAGCACACGTTCCGAGTCCCCACCGGCGTCCCGACACAGGAAGCGGAACACTGTGCGACCCCCGACCTCGCTAAAGATGACCGGGGTGTGACCGGGCACGCTGAAGTAGCAGTTACCCTTACGCAGCACCGTGCCCTGGTGTACAGGGTCCAACGACAGGTTGATATCGCCGGGACTGGTGTTGTGGCCGTTGACTAAAATGGCAAAATGGGGAAAAAACCTTGAAGAGTCGAGGTCAAGTATCACACAAAGATATCATCAGGTACCTGAGACTAATAACAAGGAACAAAACTTAGAGTGTTGAGGTCCAGTACTTAACATAAGAAGTTCAAAAGTACTCCAGACATGTACCATTTGCGTGGTGACAATGTAACTTGATAGAAACAATGGATGAAAATTGCTCCGTTATGGCCACCTACATGTACTTCATAACTACGTCTGGCATATTCCTCACTAGTCAGTAAAGAGGAACTTGTATTTTCAGCTACGAACTCAGCAAGGACTTCAGCCATATTTTTCATTAGCTACTGTGACCACTGACCGTCATCAAAAGTAACAACGAACTGCAGTTATGGTCGAGTTCTTCACATATTTCAGCCTTCTCAGATCGCTGACAAGCATTCACAAGGAGGGATGAGATGGCATTAAAACACTAAGCTGTCTCCGTTGTAATCTGAGTCGTGTCCAAAACTTGTGGCTACGACTGGAAGGAGTGTACATCTAGGGCAGTTCCAAGCTAGTAGATGTAGCCACTTTGAATAGAGTTGCATGATACCCCCATGATATTTCAGACACAGGATTATCCCCTTACCATGCCCATTCATCTCCTCTGGTTCCAAGCTGTGTGTTTTGGGCCAGTGTTCCAAAAGAGCCTGAAGGAGCAGCCCTCCGAAGTTCACTGGGTGCAAAAGAAGGGACAAACAAAATCCATCTATCAGATGCTCCGGATGCAATGGCTCAAGGCATAAACTACAGAGGGCGCTAAAGTTAAATGACCAGTGTCAAAAGTTGGGAACGGATAAGCAGCAAGATAAGAAATAAACATATTAAGCACTTCTTGCTGGGGATTCCCGATCTGGACACGTATGCTTTATATGCATGGCCGGGGTCTCCAAACTCGAAGGGAACAGGGCCTTGTAACAAAAGACCATACTCGGAACAAAAGACCAGGCTGCTGGGCATTACCAACATTTTTTCACTCTCAAAAGAGGAGATAATCCAACCTTGTTTTGAAACAGTGTACCACAGTTTGGGGCATTTAGAGCTAGTGGATTACCACCGGGGACAAAAGCGCTCTACCACCGCAGATATGAGCTACACAGCACCGCTGCATGCTAATCTGGCTCCTATTGAAAAGAGGTCAGCAGTGCACTGAGCCAGGTTCGTGAACAAAAGACAGTTGTATAACACCGCACAATCTGGGCTCTGTTTACAAGGCTGCAGGCCGGGCTGAAATACTCAGGTGTCAATTGATTTTGTCTGTCAGGCTAGAGTGGACACCAGACAGTCCTTCACGTGTTTGCAAGTGTCCAGTAAATGAAGACAGGAATTTTTACAGAATTTTGAAAACAGAAAAAATGACAAATATCCCGGCCCAGCACCATCAACATTGATAACTGCCCCGGCAGGAAGTGGTTAATAAAATTTGTGTAAAAATGTAACCTAGATCTTCTGGGTTGAGGATCTTCTGGGTTGAGGATCTCAAGGTGAGAAAAGTTTACATGGGATATCCTGAGTGTAGGATCGGAAGCTGTGAAACTACCGGGGATATTTGGCATACAAGGCACAACGGCATACTTCTGGGGGACATCAACCGAGTCACAAGGCTGAAAAGATTGATTCAGAGCACTGACATGGGCACAAGAATGATATCTTAAGGTATCCACCTTTCGTTTCAGGACCGTCAACGGGACCAAGCCCAACGTCTTTGGATGATACCCAGGATGCAAAGCAGTCGCTCTCCTCGAGGTGTATACACAGCATCTATATGACAACCAATGACAACTTCAGACAGAGCAAGTTCTGACCGTGTAAAGCATTCAGTAATGTGGCTGAGCCCACCACAAGTGCTTTCACAAGACCAGTCACAATGAACAGGGTCAACAATGGCACAGGAGGGCTTCTGTCTCAGTTCATTTGAACAGCAGAAGACTGGACTTGAGAATGGGTGACTTGAAGGGACTTGTGATGTACTACTTATCTAAGCCTCAAAACCATAAGCTTCTGTAGATCTCTCCGTAAAAAAAGGTAAATAAAACTAGAAATCTATACAAAAAAGAAACAAGGGGCTTTTTTAATTTTGGATTTTTTGCCCTGCCAGATGTGTATTGTAAAACTGTATACTCAAGTGTTTCCCTGAAAGCTTGTGAAAAAACCACAAGCGTACTCGGGTGGGACTCGAACCCACGACTTCCTGCTTACTAGTGTAGATGTCTTGACCACTCCCAGTCTTAGTACATGTTGGGCAGGGCAAAAATCCAAAATTAAACTTAAAATCTCCATGACACAAATCCATCGACAGAAACTGTTGTTCATGGTACCAGCTACATCTGAGTCAGCACAACCAGCCGACACCAGCAAGCTCGGTGGTCAAGTAATTAAGACGTCTGCACTAGTAAGCAGGATGTTGTGGGTTCAAATCCCACCCGAGTACACTTGTGATTTTTTCACAAGCTCTCAGACCAGCACTGAGTATACGGTATAACAATTCACGTCGGGCAGGGCAAAAATCCAAAATTAAAATCTCCCCGATGTCAATCCAACGTAAGGGGCTTTTTCAAATGTCTAAGTGTTTAAAGGAGTGCATATGCTAAACAGGTGTGTGCTACAACACGGAGAGTAAAAACAAGTGCACAAAGTCTTTGGGATTAGCAGAAAAAATGTGAACTCTACAAAAATCCACGGGAATAAGTCGTTATGATGTCACTACTGGGAAAACGTGCTTTCTGAATGTCTTTTTTATATCCATGGTTTTATGGATGTGACTTATAGAGATGTCACAATAGGGAAAAAAAGGGTAAATGTTTAAAAATTAATATCAATTTGAATAGTGATGTCATCAAAATGCAATTCTTCTTGGATCACAAACGCAAAATTTTTTTTTCTGTAATCAAGTGCAATGGGGACCCAAGCTTGCAATGTCTATGGGTTTTGAAGAAAAGAAGAAACAGGAAGAAAAAATCAAAACAAAAAAGAAAGCTTTTTCCACAGTTCTGCAGGAAAGCCAATCACTGGTTCCGTCTAGTTGCTTACCCCAATCTTCAAATCAACTGAGAACCAGTTAGGCACATACACCATCTGATGTTTGGACTTGATCACAATCTCCATGTCAGCTTTTCCGAGATCCTCCACTTGTTTAGCCTACGAACAAAGCATTAAATTTCATACGCTAAACTGTTATGTAAGCAAAATTGTTGTTTATAGGAGCTCCAAGAGGATTATCTGGACTTGACAATACCATCTCATTAATCATTACAGATCCGGGGTTTTGAATATTTTGAAGCCCGTTGCGTGATTGTTATCCACATTGCGCCGGGCGCATTTATCCATGTTGATTCTGCTGGGCCTTGTAATTTTAATTTTTTTTCTGTTTTCAAAATTCTTCAAAAATTCATAACTTCATTTACTGGACGTTTACACCCACATGAATGACTCTCTGGTGGCTACTCTAATCTGACAGACAACATTTATTGACGCCCAAGTATTTCAGCCAGGCCTGCTGCCTTGAAAAAGAGCCCAGATTGTGCACTGTTATGTAAGTTTCTTTTGCTCCCGAAACCGACACAGTGCACTGCTGACGCCTTTTCAACAGGGGCCAGATTAGCGTGCAGCAGTATTTTATCGCTCATCACTGGAGCCTGGAGCACTTTTGCCCCGGTGGTAATCCACTCCTGCTGAATGCCACAAACAGTGGTATAATCTTTCAAAAGAATGACGGATGATCAGCCATATACTCAACCTTTTTCAATTGAGATGCATAATTCAAATAAAGTCTGTGTATAGTTACTTACGGTCAGCACATCATAAATGGCAACATTGCTGTCTGTGTCTTTGGTCACTATGTGTCTCTTGTCATTCAAGATGTGGTACTGGACGACACTTGGTCCGCCTTGCAGAAAAAACACAATAAAAAACATCAGCACAAAGTAGCAATAGCAGGCATTTCAATAAGGTAACAATGTTTCAGGTTTATGTCTCAAGTTTTTAAATGTTAAATATTAGATTTTCTCCAAGACAGCTCTGCTGAAGGAAATCTTGGCCAAGATTTCTGTAGATAAACGGGCTCACCTCTGATTGTGTACTCCGGTGATTTGATGTACGGCTCGCAGGGCGCGTTGTCGTAATCCCCAGAATTTCTACTGTCGCTTCCCTTTAGTGACTGAACGAGACAAGAATTCGGTCATGTCAGCAGGAGTTGAGAACCAAACAAAAAATGTGAGGAATTTAAAGTATACAGAAGTATTCCCACAAAACTGTAACAATTTTTGTCCTTCTCTTCTGTGACATGAAATTTTGCAAGTTGTTAATGTCAATTCCAGAAGGAGCAGAGTTTTTTTGTAATCATTAACCCAAAAGAAATACTTCGGATTCTTTGAATATTCTGTCCCAATAATGATTTTTCTAGTAGAATCGGAAGGGCATGCACTGAGTTTTTAAACACTTTCCTTTTTTTGAGGGGGGATCCGCTGCACCAAATATATTATTCTGTTTTGGGACAAACAACCGAACAAAATTACAGGGTAAGGGAAGGGTCAGGTACGGTGGTTTGGGGTTAAGATTACCTCAACGGTATTGTTTGGAGCCGAAAATCCGCATTTTTGAAAAAGGAAAGATGTAGCTGCAAACTTTCTATATTTGGCCAAAAGCCACAATTATCCATTCACAAGAGTCAACTGAACTGTATTGATATTTCTTGCCACACCCTCACATTTTTCAACACTCTGGGACTAATCCATGGAGCATGGTATTTGCTACAACAGGCGGAACACAGCAGCCAAGTTCAAGTTCAACACTCGGCCCGCTTCCAAAGGCTTCGTGGACTTGGTGTTCGCACACAACCAATGGGAATTGGCATGGTCCAATGAACCTAAAGCCTAGGGTGCGTTGAAGCATGCCTGACATCTTGGCCCATCGGCCTTGGCTGTCTGTGTAAGCAGATAGCCAGATTGGGATAGCCCGCCCTCCAAGTCGAAGTGGTTCAAAGATTCCGCATCTTACCCATTCGTTGATGTCCGACCGGGTTGTTGCCACCCACAGGGCATTCTGGTCTGGGGTGATTTCTATCCTCAGAATTGGAGCGTGCTCCTCACAGATCAACACACTGTCCTCGGGGTACCTGTCAAATCAAACCATTTTTTTTTTCAGGCCAAATCTATGCAACAAACTGAATGAAGCAGACTGCTGATTTCTCAGTCTCTCATGACATAGTTAGAGAAGACTTCATCAAGCATTTTGAATAATATATATATTCAATCGGCCAAAGTTTTTCCTCAAGAATAAAAAACCCTCTAAAAGATGAAGAAACTTGGTCACTATCCCTCCGTGCATGTCGCTTTTTATCCAAATGCTGCATTCACTGGCTCCAAACATTCATTTTAAGGCAGCACAATAGTTACTTGGAAGGAATGAAAAAATAAGTTTAAGGGGAAAAAAGCAGTATTTTGAGAAGATGAAACTACAGTTTGAGGTAATGAAATAAATACCTCAGGGTGAAGAAAATAATTATTTCGAGGTAAAAATGCAAGAGTTTTATTTTGAAGGAACTAAATGAAATTTGGAGAAAAAAAATATGAATATATGGCCGGACATAACATCATTTTAAGAGAATGAAATGTCATTTTGATGGAATGAAATTTACCATTTTGAGGGTACAATCTCTTAAAACTGAGTTTTTCACCGATCAATTTGTCTTCTCTGCCCGTCCTCTCAGGGTTTTGTAAGCTTCAAAGCATTTCGGCAAATCCAAGTTCAAAGGAATTTAGCTAAAATTGAAATACCCCCAAAATCCACACAGCCCTGCCGTTTGGAACACAGTTGAACAGCGATGTGCACGGGCTTAGTTGCGATCAATGTTAGGTTGAACACGCATCATACTCAAGCAGTCATGAAAGCTTGCCTCTTGCAAAGGAGACAAAGACTGCCCTCTACAGTTCATGCCGAGATCCATCAACCTTCCGCTCATCCCCCACTGCCCTTCCAGGGCGATAGGGAAGGGCATCTGTATTTCACAAAATTTTAGTCACGGATGCACAAAGCATCGTGGGTTACTTGCCGTCGTCTCAATCCTGGCATGTCCATTGAGCAAACACAAGTGTCATGGTGCACTAGGAAATGTTGACCCACGTTATGGCTCAAATGAATTTTATCCAATGAGTGCTCGATGGAAAAATAACATGTTCATGATACATTTGCCAGTCCCAGTGCCCTGTGTGGGCAGCGGCGATGAGCAAACATCAAACCTCCCTCTCTCAAGATCGTACCTGATGTCTGTCTCAAACAGTCGGCAGTCCCTCCCGCCTGAGTAGAAGTGGGTGAAGGAGCTGTTGGCGCGCAGCGCCCATACGCCATCCTGGTGCATACGGTAGGTTGCAATACATCGCTGCTGGCCCAAGGACCAGAGCCGGACCGTGCCGTCTGAGCTCCCCGACAAGCACTGCCACAGAGACACAGGCAACATGAATGTTAGTGACGGCCTTGTTGGGAGGACAGTGTTTTACTTTTGTTAGGAAAGTCGGGACCAAGTTGTGAGGACAAAAATTTGTCCCAATAAACATTTCTGGTCCCTACAAAATTTGTATTTGTGTACATTTCAACTGTACCCTTCCCAACCCCTTTGGGCTGTTTGACATGAGACACAAGGGCTGTTCGTTTGAAGTGACAAATCCCCACCTGGAGGTCACAATTCACTCAACAGGTATGAGTTGGGGCATTATTACCCACTGCCTCTGCATACAGTTTGCCAGGTTAAAGGGCTTGTGACTAAAATCTCACACCCCCCCCCGGGCCTGAAAGACATGACCAACTCGGACACATAGCCAGGGACCATGAAAGGGGACGGGAGTGGTGGGGGAAACTACCACTGACTGAAAAGGTAAACAGCATGTTAAAAAGACATGGAGCTTAAGGCCAGCAGGGTTCAATGACACTTCATTCTTGGTGACCCCGCTTCAAAATTCCACCCAGGTCGACGTGACTTGTTAGTCAGCACCATACAGGTCATAGAACAGGGAAAACGTACGCCAAACACATCATTTCTGCTTATTTTGTCTGAATTGAACGTAATGGTTTGACATTCATGTCATGGAAAAAATTGATTTAATCTCAACAGGGCTACATCCTCCGATTTTAATATCATTTTACAAACACCCTTGGAAGTCCAGGTTGAAAGTCCAGGATGGAAAATGTCCAATTAACAACATCAAAACAGAGCCAAAATCTGAAGAAAACCAGAGGCTGTTCAGTGACATTCTGCAATGCCACATATTGGTGGGGAAGTGGGGGAGGTTGTCACCTGGCTGGCATCCCGATTGACCAGCAGAGCTTTGACGTTGTCCGTGTGACCTTTCAACTTCATGACCTTGGCGCACGTCCGCGGATCCCACACTCTCAACACCTGGGTGGAATTGTCAGATTAAAAAAAGACAGACAGAATGAGATTTTCATTACTTGTTGAAAAATAACGGACATAAGATCTAACTCCTTTCCCTGCTCACATTTAACCAAGCGTCCTTGTAAACAAATCCTACTAAAACATTAAACACCTAGTCAAAACTGCTCCATATTTCAAGGGCGTACGCTATGCAAGTATTTTACTTCAACCACTGAAAATACACATTGGTGTTTCAATTAATCTACTTTCAATTTTTCTACTTGTATTAGGGTTAAATCCTCTATATTCAACATTACTTTACACACAACCCTGGGAGTTTGGGTTGAAAGTCCAAGATGGAAAAATTTCAGACAATATAAAACAATTCAAATGAATACCAAAAAGGACAAAACAGAAGCAGTTCAATGACATTCTGCACTATAACGGAGGTAAGATCTGACTCCTTTCCCTGCACTGCATGACTGTTCCCTCTTGGGCTTTTATAGGCAGAGATTCATTGACAAATTACAAACCTTTTCAGTAGACCCCGAGATGACGACCGAGCCCGACTGGTTCATTGCAAGACTATAAATAGAATCCTTCTGGCCATTTAGTGAAGAAGCTGAAGACACATAAAAAAAATGGAAACATCAAATCATTTCTGCAAATGCTTTCAAAGAGGAAAAGCTCTCTAATGGTTAATTTACTGTCACTTCAAAAGATAAAAAGGGGGGGGGAACGGTTTATCAAATGAAGTACTGGTAAAGTCTACCGATGCTGGACTTGTACTTACATCAAGCATGAAATTCCCTAAAAAGCCATCCCTAAATTACTCCAATAACACTTTTTAGGGTATTGTTTAAATCTTGCCTTCTTACACTTAAGAAAAAGTAGGGTTGTGATTTCTTGTCGTATAAATACGTCAGTATTTGCGGCTGAAAAAAAATGGCACCTGTAATAAGTGGGTTGTGGGACAAGAATGCCGGCAAATGGTTAAAGACAGAGCTGTTCAAGACTTACTTGTAACAGTATTGTTAGTGGCTGTCAGCGCTGTCAAGGTGCGTACGTCCCACAGGAATATCTGCTTGTCTAAGCCAGCTGAAGCAACATGCTCCCTATCTTTGGCATAGGCTAACGCCTTGACATAATCCTGTAGAGAAACATTCCCCTCACAAATAAAACCGGTAAAGGCCACTTCCTTGAATACTGACAAGCTTTGATTTGGAAGTTACAGGGACCATCAGTAATGTCCAATATATGCCACAGCGTTCTCCAAGTTGTCAATTAGTGGGTGGGGACTGAGAAGAAAATTAAACGGGGGGGGACATAGTTTTAAGCAGGCTTCAACCTTAAGCTTCAGAGGGTCAAGGCCACTTTGGCCTTGAATGCTCCCAAAGACCAAAGGGCACCAAGGCCAACTGAAAGGGCACCAAGGCCACTTTGATATTTTTACTCATCATGCTTGGTGACTTCAACAGACTTTCCTTCAATTTCAACACGGTGATTAACTTTCAACCTGCAATTTTCATTGTTTCTGTTCACATGCTGAGCAGTCTGCTTGAATTGTAGAAATAAAAATAGATAATACTGTACTAACTTTAACAACTTTACAATACATGTAGGCCTACTAATCATTGAAAAGGGTTAAAGTTGCTGAAAGGTACACGCTATGTTTAAAAGGCATCACGGCAATTCACTGGGGCATCACGGCATTGGCTGCTGGTGGCCGCTGTAAAGATCAAAGCCCGGTTTCAAGGCACACACAAGTCAAAATCTTGTCAAAATTGTGGTGCTATTTTGGCAACTTCACCTTCTGTTGAATGGGAAGCAATTTAGACATTCATAGGTAGCTTTTTTCCGTCAAGATTATGCTGCGTAATTGGTATAATCCAGAACGCAAACGTAGCACCCAATTTTTTTAACTTGGCAGTAGGACTTTAAAGCTTGGTGGCTACTTTTGGCAACTACAGGTTGGAGAACACTGTGACAGTTTGTCTCATTTGAAAACTGCTTTCAAACACACTTCAAATACTGCTCAAGATCCAGCAAGAAACCTTCACACTCCTGCTGAAACATTATTTCATTCCATTGCCAGTTCATACAAATCTATACGGTCAACAGGAATTTCAGTAAGGAGCACTGGAAGAAGAGGAGAACCTAATTACGCCGTATAGATCAGCTCAACCTTGGAAGCTGTCAAATCACAGCTCAAGACATTACCTGTTTACAACCAGAAGTGCATAGCAACTCTTTGCATGACGCACGACTCACAACCCGTGTCTTAGTATTATCAAAGGTACAGTCCATCAGTTGTCATTTATGCATTATGTTCCTCTGAGACAACAAAATTACTCCAAGTCTAAACAAAACCTTGTAAAGTCTCATCGCAGTGAACGTTATACATCCCCTGGTCTAGTTTGAATCGAAAGTGAATTCGGCACCTACGACATGTTCTCACATTCAGTTGAATGCAGCTACCTGATGTCACGCACTGATCGGATAAATTACAGTAACTGCAATGTGTGTGTGTCTCGTCAATGCTTGCATGCACTTCTAATAGCAATATTCCAAATATGCATGTTCAGACCCATCGTTGGAAAGGGCTCCCTCTCGTTTTCCTTAAAATGACAGCTTGCAAGAACGAAAAATCGAAAAATTTCACAGGGACCATACTCCAAAAACCATCATTAACCCTAACACTACCAAATCCTCCAATTTTAATACGATTTTACATACACCCTAGGGGGTTAGGGTTAAACCAAGTGTGCTATTCAGCAATAAATTCGTCAGTCACTGTTTGGATATTGCAAATAACGGACCGTACAGGTCAAAATTCTACTTTTCTCAAAAGAAACGCAAAGAAGCAAGTGTCACTTACCTTATGTGTCCTTAGTGTGGACATGCAGAAACCTTTGTGTGCATTCCAGACTTTGACTGTTGTGTCAGATGAAGCCGAAATTACTGTATGCAGAAAATAAGGAAAAATACCATCCACTGCCTGGCGTTGCATTTTGTTATGCCACAAGCTCTAAATGGTTGTAGCAGAGCATTTCAAAATCGTAACACAGAAAGGCATACACATGTGGCAGGTCAAAATGTCAAAATTCGATCTTTTCTCCTTCACGCCAAGTCAATTCAATATGTGGATTTGGTATTTCAAATCGGCAAGGTCATTTGAGAACAAGGGATCTGGCATCATGCTAGCTCTGACATGTTCAGAGTGTGGGAGTTGGCGGACAGCCTTGCTGTCTGCACTTGTCAGGCGGACCTTCCTCTCGAATGACCCACAACCTGCTTCATCTTGGGCATGCGCTGTTAAAATACCAAACTGGCTGGGATGCATCTTTACCCCTTCAAAATCCTTCAACCTTCTTCAAGCCCCCCAAAAATTGGACACAGTCTCAGTCCTTGAGAATCCTCCTGCGATTCCAGTCCGCATGTCGAGGCAGTGCCAGTGATTTCAAGCATAATCAAGGCCTACACGCAAGCAAGGCTCGGCACTGCCAACACAGTGTTCGGCCAAGGACAATAACACAGAGCCTCCTTTGAAGTCACCCACAAACATTTCTGCCAAAACCCTATAAAACCACTCGGAAGACTTTGGAGGATTGGGGAGGGCTTGGGATAAATATTCTGGGCTGGTTCGGATCCGGTTCACTCACATGTCTTGCCCTCACAGCACAGCACAATGTCGTTCACCCAGTCCGTGTGGTGTTCCATAGACAGCTGATATGGGTCCTACAAGAGATAACAAGAATGGTGTGTTTAACAAATGTCCTATGCCTCAGCCGACAACTTTCATTTGTAATAAAAAACTGTTTTTTCATTGTGAAAGCCATTTCTGTTGTTATCACCATGCTGACCTTGACCTTTGACCTATAAAGTCCAAAATCAATAGGCTTCTGGAAGACACCAAGACATCCAATAAACAAAATTTGAATTTGATATGCAAAGTTCTTCTGGAGATATGGTGCACATCAAATTTAATACCTACTGTTTTAACCATAACGACCTTGACCTTTGACAAACGGATCCAAAATCAATTTGCACCAAGACCAACCCACTTACCAACCCACTTACTAAGCTGAATAAATGTCAAATCCTTCGCAAGTAAAACTGACGGACAGACATCCCTACATGGGTGTGGCAGGCCTACCATACAGTTACATGTATATGAGGTGATGTCAGGAAACAATACAGGCCCGAGTTGAAGTGCACCCTCACTTGCAAGGAAGACGCCAATTGGTGGGCAATTTTTTTTCAGGATCATGAACATGAGTGGTGCGCACGTAATGACCGTAGAGTTACATGGGCACCGGTCGCATTTGCTCTGCATATGCCATAAAAAGCCCACTGGAACTTGTGCACACAAGATACCGCCAAAGGACAAGGGTGCATGCTCAGCAGGAGTAGCACCAAGCCAACGCGCACAAAATCCCCTTGCCGCTTCTCCCGGCTCACCCTCGGATTGTGGAGGTTCCAAATCCGGATGATAGAGTCACGTCCGGCTGAGTACAGCTTGTTGATGGCTGGGTCATACTGGAGGCCGTTGACCCCCGACCTGTGCTGTCGCTCCACCTCATCGCGGATGACAAACGTGACCTGCACAACATCAGTAATATCAGCAACAACTTTGTCATTGGACAAGTAAAAACTAGACGCGGGGCGATGGTATATTGTTTTCATCGCATGACCATCCTTGCTGTGTGACCTGTAAGTTGAAACCGACACGTGCTGCGCTGTGTAGCTGTGACAGGATGTAGTATTTTAATAAATCCCCCTTCCGAAAATGGTAGAACCGACATGCACTTGGCCATTGGCCCGATGCATGCACAATGTAATTTACCAATCACAGTGTGATCATCGTCAGGTGGAAACGAGAGATTGGTAAGTAAAAATTTCAGATTAAAAAAAAAAACACTTGGTTTCAAGGTCTGAAACTCCCGGTACGCTGTTTTCAAGAGCTACAGGTATCTCACGGTTGCTGTCACTTGAAAAATTGAAAACGCTGAATTTGCGTCAAAGAACCTCAAAGGCTGGATTCAAAAACCACATGGCGTTACGACCCTGTTTAAACAACAATGGCTCCAAGTCACACTGAGTAGTGACTTGGAATTTTTCAAGAGAGCTTAACAAATGTAACTTACAGAACTTTGTTTCCCTAGCAGGTTCCTTACTTTTAATGGGTTCGTAACGGAATTATCTCCGCTTAAATCACATGCCCTATGGTTTTGGGACGGCATAACCAACTATTTTGGACAAAAATCAAAGCATTTACCTCCTGCCTCTCATCACAAAACGATCCATACAACCATGACATTTGCTGTGGCCATTTACACAATGCATCACCACGATCACAAAATGCACATGTACTGTACGTGTAGCTACATGTATATAAGCTTATGCAATGTCATAAACACCCGGTATCAGCTCGACCGTTTTCAAAGCAGGGGAGTATGGTAAGCCACACGCTATAACGTTACATACCCAGCATTTTGAAGCTGTTCACCTACATTGTAGACCAAATGGTCAAGCTGATGCCAAACGTTCGTAACATTGCAGTGTGTGATGCATGATCGTGTAATTTGAAAACAGTCATAGCGTTAAGAACTCATTACGGCATTCATTACCATTAGCACCCTCTTCCTATAATAAGGAAAACGAAGTCCACTTTTTCAAACTAACTGAGATTCAGACCTTGAGGATCCATTCCTCAATCCTAGTAGCTCTAGTTTTGATAAATTTTGACAATATTTAAGCAAGACAACCAGAATTTTTTTACCCAATTTCGGTGAAAGACGACCGCATATCATGCCATTTTGTTTCAAGTCTGGTCAACCAACCCAGCCACTGTGGATATACTGAATTTCATAAAAGAAATTTTTATGGTTCCAGGTTAAAGAACCAGACTTCTTGCGCGGATCCTCCTTTGTTCTCAGCTCTTCAAGTCATTTTACGCTGCTGTTTTACCCCATAATTTCCCTTAAACTAAAGCCCTTCCCTCTTTTCTTTCTGATATCATGAAAGAGGACATCGCCACCAATTTATTTAGGTACAGGCAAGTTGTTTCGAAGATGTAGACTTTGTGTCGTTATCATACGAACAGGGCCTTGCCTTTTTTTTATTCGTAAACTAAACACACAATAAACAGACTGAAGTAGTAATTGGCTGTGATGAGTCGGATTTTAGAGCAATGGACAGATAGACTGTGTTGAAGTTTTGAAAAAAATCTCCTAATTAAATCATACGGTTTTTTTGGGGGGGGGTGGAGAGATGCTCTTAAAACCCTCAGCCTCATGTAGGTCTACATGAAACAGCTGGAGACTCAAATCCATGTGTACTATGTAGCTGTTTGGAGTCCTCTGTAATCACAAGTGCCTTCCGATATTCTCTAAAAATGTTTTTCACAAGTGAAGAAATCATGTCGCCGAACAGTTTTGTCAGTGGGCTTAAAATTCATTGGCTTGGGAGGTTGAGGTTTATGGTCATGCTGGAGCTCTGTCTGGTTATCGGGCGATGGATCCCCAACAATGTGCAATATCAAAATGATCAATCTCAAATTCCATCAAAAAAGGTGATTTTTCGTTTATAAATTCAGGCCCAAGAGATTAGGATTGTTAATCGCTGTTATTGACTCTCATTATCAGTCTAGTTTACTAACAAAAATACCTATCTGTGCCAGCGCGTTCTGGAGGTCTCCATCTCTAAAAAAAAATGTATTCGGTATAACTTTTAAAATGGAACAAATCAACAGATATTAGTAATTTGCTAGCAACAGAAGTGTGCTAAAGCCTTGCTGGATAATACCTTCAGGCTCCCCTCGACACGGAACTGCCGGGAGTCCCTGAACTTCTATCAAATTTTGGGGACTTCTTTTGTCTGTCTATTTTAAGTTCACCTGTTAACACAAAATACATGCTACAAAAAAGGCCAGGATTTGTACAAATCATGAACTTTAGCTTTCCTGTTCCGGCTGTAGGAGACTCGGCTTGCATGCAGGTAACTAGGCCAACCGTCACCAACCCAATCCACAGCCTCGCCCCGGCCCAATGCTGTGTGTACCAGTCATGCTACTTAGCGTCAACAAGCATCAACACACACAAGTAACGTCAACAAAGCATCAACAACTTGAAAATACCCTCTACAGATTTAAAAGTGGCCTTATTATATTTCAGAGACTCTAACACTTGCCACTGTATAAGAGAAACACCAAATTTGCTTCCAGATTCTCGCAGGAAAACGAAAATTTTCGTGATGTATGGGGGCCACCATCTTTCTTTCCTCTGCCGTCCACGCGAAAACAAGATGGCGGCCAGTCGGACTGCACAAACAGGCCCGACTCTGTCACTCAAATTTCAACACTCAAATATCATTTCAGATTGATATAAAACACAGAATTTGATATTTAGGATCCTAATTAACATTTTAGAAAAACATCTTTGCATAAATATGCTTGAATAACTTGTTGATGCTTTGTTGAGGCTCGTTGACGCTAAATAGCATGACCCGGTACTCGTGGCCGAGAACCACGCTGCGTGTTACGGGCTTTATGTGAGCGTGGAAACCAGTGGATTTTGTTTGACTTCAGTTTGCTGGTTCCAGTCAAAACATGTAGTTTCCATGTGCCTGTACGCAGCTCGGAATCTCATGCACCAAGTAGTTGCGCACGCACACTGTACGAACTGCACTGGAGAACGGCTGAAAACAGTCCACAACAATGGCCAGAATTAACGTTACGTAAGACTTTATTTTCCCGTTTTTGTCTTTGGTGGTGATGTGTTGAATTTCTTAACCCATTAGCTGTGGAGATAAGGATGCATAGGAGTTACAGACGTGAAATTGGCTCCTTGGAAATGGTACAAGTGTTGAAAATATTAGTCACAAAATTTTTCGCCCGATTTTGCACCCTTTATATCCTAGACTCCCTCTGTAACGTAGTACGGTCAGGAGTCCACCTGGGCTAGGCCTAAGCGTAATGTTTAATATTTAGGCCTATGTTCACGAATAATCTTTCGGCAAAGGCAGTGGATATTTAGCCGGTGACGGCAAAAGTTCCGAAACAATATTTGGCCGGGACGTGTTTTCATTGGCGAATTCTCATTAGGCCTTACGTCATCAGACTATGATGTTTCGCTTTCATTAACGTACAGTAGGGGGGCGGAAATCAGACCTATGAAATTTCGGACTTTATTTTCCTTTAAAAATTCCTCCAAAGCCTCCGATAAGAAAAGAAAAAAAGATTCCTGCTTAGGCCTATACCTTGGAAACCAACATAAAAAAACAATTATGGTATATAACATGAAATTTAGGCAAAAAAAAATAAAATAGTCCAAGCGCGGATTCGAACACACCAGTGGTTCCAAACCTTCCACCTTGACCATTCAGCCACAAGCGTCCAGAGGTATCAATTTTTTAACATATATAAACTGTCGTGATGATCAGCTACGTCATCGCACTCGCGCAGTTCAGTGCCGTAACATTAGAAAATGAGATGAGCATTACGACTGCCGTATAGACAGCCACTTCATTAAAAAAATACTCAGTGCTAGGAAAAAAAATTCTCCATTGAGGTTTGAACCTGGAACCTTGCACTCACGAAGGAACTCGGTTTAATATCCTATTGAGCTACTGACTGCATTGCTCGATTGAAGGTGGTATTTTCTAAATTACATACATTCAGAAACACATCCCGGCAAAATAGCTTTGAAAAACTTTTGCCGTCGCCGGCAAAACATACGCTTCCTTCGGCAAAATCATGAAACCAGTCACGCCAGTGTTGACTGTCAGACAGTTGAGACCGAAATTTCACAAACTCAGAACCTCAAATTCTCCTAATACATTCCTTCTACTTCTTCCAGGTTTTTTTTAGTTCAACCAACATAATCGAACAGTTTGCAATCTGGAACTCCATTTATTTACCTGAACTTTTCTTCGAGTGCTACTCGGCTGACGGTGGTGCACCGCCATGTTTCGCATTTATGACGTCATGACTTTTGCCCTGTATAGTCTGTTTCTAGGGATAATTTTGCTGTCAACGCATAGTCTGTCTGAAACCCAGACTCAAGCAGAGTTGCGTTATAAATCAATGCGTTAAAAAAATACAAGTCACATGCAGTGGTCACATGTGATTAAAAACATAATAGAAGCCGACAATCATGTTTGGGTTAAGGTTCAGACATGTCAGGGCGTTTATCAACATATGATGGCATGGATGATCACGGACCACAGTGCGAGCCAAACATGAAAACGCCCATCTTGCTCCTTGATGTTTTCCTCGTAAATCACTCCCGCTGATTTACCATCTGACCATTGCGAATGTGATTGGTAGGCATCATGACCGTGAATCATGTCAAGCCATGATGACAGTTGGACATGGTTCATGGTTGATATAACTTACATACATGTAGCATCATCTAAGCATGTGAACCTCATGATAGCCTAAGCATATCAAGGTAGGGGCTTAATGGGCCTAATTTGTCAGATCAATACTGGGAAACAGGTGCTGGAAGTGGAAAGAGTTTCATATGATAATGTTACGCCCCAACTATAGCATCAGTCCCAACTATAGTTGAGCCTGTCCCAACTATAGTTGGGCCCGTCCCAACTAGAGTGCTACAGTTGGGCCGGTCCAACTACAGCAGAGAGGTCCTGTGTGCATGATGTGCCCAGCATGTGCCAAAGTCATTGTTTACAAATGTCATGTCATTGGTCATAGGGCTAGATGAACAGATGAAGTGCCACATTTTACATGTATATGAATTATGTCAAGTGTGAGACACATTGCAGCACTACAGTTGGGAATGTCCCAACTATAGTTGGGACTTATGTTATAGTTGGGGCGTAACAATAATATTATTATTGTTTATTCATGCCAATTCTTTTTCATCACATACAAGATGGGCATATAGAGGTATAAGTGATAACAATCACTGTGGCCAAAGACCTGCCACTCCTCATCGAGTTATGTGTAGTGTAAATGTATACTGATATATATTATATGGACTCTCCTTGATGCATCTACAAACCCTTTGTTGAGACTGATGTGAAAAGTGTTTACTACCTCTAAGCGTATGTTCTCGCGGTTGGACATCTGGGAACTTCTGCACATTATTGAATGGCATGGAGGGTAAATTTGGCCCTTTGCCATATGTTAAAAAGTTGCTTATGAATGATTAGATAGATGAACAAAGAAGTTGACTGGAGCGGGATTTGAACCTGCGGCCTCTGGAATACCGTACCAGTGCTCTACTAACTGGGCACATTCATTCATAAGCACCTAGTCAGTTTCCCTATATGGTTTGTTTCATGATTTATGTTCAAAAAGCCATATCCTCTTTGAGTGATCCCTGTTCATCACTTCCCAGGTTGTATCACGTAATTGGGGTGTGATCCCTGGCTACATGGTGTTTCAGGTTTAATGGCTTCTGGCTAGCGCCCCCCCAACAGAGATATTGACAAATGGGAAGAACCACCAACATAGGGCTGGGTAGCTCAGTTGGTAGAGCACTGGTACGGTATTCCAAAGGCCGCAGGTTCAAATCTCGCTCTGACAGTCAATTTCTTTGTTCATTATAATCAAAAGTCCATAGTGCCATCACACTGACCACGAGAATAGGCTTACTTCAATATTTTCCCTGCTAAATTTGATAAATTAGGTCATGTTGTTGCTTTCAAATGGCTAATTGACAGCTGTAGGGAAAAAATAGTCGCGTCTATGTAATTATATGCAATTCTTCTCAGATGTTTCTTTCTCCATTTTTCATGCTTTCAAGGTAATATGGGCATAATGGGCCATAGGCCTTGTTTCTGGGGTTCATTTTCCACCACACTCTGGCGGAGTATGAACCACAGAGTTCCAGGGGTAGCCCCATCCTCCATGCCCTCTACTCTTTGGTACATGTAACTGCCAGATTTATTTGCACCTTGAGGGGAAAAAGAGGTGAAAAAAGCAGAACTAACAACAAAAACTGCATGTACTTGGTTCTTTTTTAAGTAAAATTAATAATTAAGCCTCCTCTCTGCCAATTATCTTTTACTTTTTTCAGATTTGTCATATACATGTACATGTGTATAATACATATTGAATATTATCTTTTACATGTACGTGTATTATTTTTGTATTTAGTTATTGTGTCTCTTACTGACTGTTTATTCACGTACAAATTCATTCAATTTCTTACATCATTTTTATTCCTTTCCACCATGTCCACTTATATTCATTTCCAGTGAGTTCATTTCTTTTATATTTAAATATTCATATGTTCTAATGTTTTTATATATTCTCATTCATACATACCTTGATAAGGAGCAGCAGGTCTTCTTTTTAAGTAATATTTAAGCCTCCTCTTTGCCGATTATCCTTTACAGTTTCATTACTTTTATTGTACACTTAACTGCTGATCTCTTACACATGCATTTTTTTAATTTATTGTGTCTTAATTTATTTGTGTCTTTATCAATTGCTTATTCATTCAAGTTATTCAGTTTCTTATTCAATTAATTTATCTTTATTTATTTCTTATTTATGTTATCTTTATTCATTTCCACTTTTATTCATTTCCAGTGATTCTTTTCCTTTTTATATTGAAGTATTTATAAGTTCTAATTTGTGGCTTCAAATACTTTAATATATTTTTAGTTTTATTTATATTTATTTACTTTGTACACAACTTGATTAGGAGTAGCAGGTCTTTGGCCACAGTGATTGTTATCACTTATGCCTTTCCTATGCCCGTCTTATATGTGATGAAAAAGAATTGGCATGAATAAATAATAATAATAATAAATTCCTCTGGAAAGTCAGAGTGTATAATTTTGCCATCATCAGGTCGCACATAATCTTTTGTTAAACAGCCAGCATGAAACCGATACCACTAATTGCTGAATTCCCATACTGGTAGTGAGTGGGTAGTAAGTTGGCCATAGTAACACATGATTGCTGAATCCAATCCAGTCCAGGCCATGCTATGGCATTGTAATTGGATTTCTCCTGCCCCCCCAAAGTCCCAATATCTCCCTTTAAATACGTTTTAAATCAATAAATTTTCTATATTCAATTTCAAAATATTTCAATTTTTTTATGCAGTTTGTGATTCTGGAAGATTTGTTAAGGGAAAAGGTCCAAAATGACACAAAATCTGAATTCTATCTCATGAATTTGAATTTGCAATGGTATGTAAGCATGAAATCAACGCCGGGGAAGATTTACTGCACATGCTCAGTTCCTGTACCAATACAACATCTAAATCATCAAAAGCGAGATAAAGATTCAAATTTTCAGGATGGAGGGGGAAAGCGAACTGTTTAGGTTGGATAAAAAAAGTTAGATGTTTTTAAGTACCTTGTAAATTTTCATTGTGATGATGAGGGTGAGGTCACATGTTTGGGGCTTTTTACATGTTTATTGGATGAAAGGGAAATAAAATAGGCCCCAAAATTATCTTTTTTTATGGTGCAGAGGGGAGGGGATGCATTGCACTGTTGGGTTCTCTCCACCTTTGACCATTACGGGACTGTGAACCAGTCAAAATAAATTAGTAAGTGATGGAAATCTTAAATACAGACAGCAGGCCATCTTGACAAAAAAATTAAAGGCTTCTTTAGGATATATTTTGTTGTTTTTCTGGGCCTCACTTAATTTCATTAAACAATTCATGTAGCTGAGTTTGCTGATCTGTTTCATTCTTAAGACTATGGCAAGAAATGACAGTACATCAGACTCCAACAGTGAACCCAACAGTCCTTTGGCTTTCTCAACACATGAAGAGAGACTTCTCTATGCATCCAGGCACGGCGACTGCCAGACCGTTGAACAACTTCTTGAGTGGAACAGTGAGGATGCCATTCAACTCAATATCAATTGCAAAGGTCAGAGTTGCACACTTACTCTATTGCAGTTTTTCTAACGTAAAGTATAGTGATTTATCATTTTAAAGCTGTTGACAGTCACCCTGGTGTACGAAGAGCGGACAGTGTAACAAGTGTACAGTGAATACATGTGTATAGGCAACACTGGAAGCTCTTGTAATTCCAGGCATGGTTTGATCTGGGATTAAAATATCTGCCTGTTCTTTCTGCTCCCAGAAAATGTTTTGGAAACTGGTATCCCATGGCTCCACTTGGAGTTCGTGTTTTTATTGCACTCAATGTAATATAACATAACTCAAAGTGTCAAAAAGAAATGTGAAGGCAGCTGAATACATTTCAGCACTAAGGCCAAAAAAATTACTTACCTTCAGGTTTTTTTTTTAAATACTTAATGTTTTGTTTCTGTTTTTGTGGGAATTTTGCCCAATCGAATGCTCGAATATTCCATTGAATGGAGAGTTGAATGTTTTATTATTCACTTATTCAAACTGACTCGGCCTCATTCCATCATGGCATTTATTTTATTCTCCTTGTGAAAACCTGTACACGATTGCCGAATGACTAGGTACGAGTAAGGCCAACCTAGGCTGGAGCCCGCTCCACCTGGCAGCCTACTTTGGACACGTGGAGGTAGCCACCCTACTGCTAAGCTACAATGCTGATGTTAACATCGTCAACAACAGCGGAGACACTCCACTCCACCGAGCAGCATTTACTGGGAGACATGTAGGTTTGATGCCCCCTTCCCCAATCCAAGTGAACCTCTTCACTGTCCAACCCCAATCGCCATGTTATTCCTACTTATCTACTCCTCCGTCCATCCTTTGTCTGCACTGCCCCTATCCCCATGCAGACTTCATCCCATTTCCGACCACCAAGTCCATCGACTAACTTACACCCACCAAACTCTCACTGGTTTTACATGCCTTGTACCCTGTGTGGACTGTTCCTTGTTTTTCTTCATAAAGAAAAAGGGGAACTAATGTGAACACTTGTTCAACCTTAATTTTGCTCTTGGTTCCTGTAAAGTTCCTGAATATTTTGTGACAAGTTACATTAACCCAAATTCTTCCGGAACTTTTTTTCAGAAAGTGGGCACATGCCTTTGAAAGTCCGCATGGGGTCTTCACGACCAGCGCTATCCACTGATATTATGATAGCACCCCCCCTGTCAATCCCGAGCCAAATAAACCCAGAGAAAACTCAGAAGAACTCGAGTTTCTTTTGGTATCTATAATATTTACACATTTTTTTTCAAAAATATCGATAATTTTACATTTGATATTTCTCTGAAGAGAGGGACGAATCCAATAATAAATACAAAAGGATTCCTTGATTAATTAATACCTAAATTCCCTTGGTTTTCTTTTTTTCTTTGTTGGATGTCGTCAAGAGATAAAATAAAACAGAAAATTTACAAATCACTTTAAATCCGAGTTAAATGAATGTTGAATAAAAGGATCCAAGAGAACCCTTCCTCAAAAATATATAAATTTGATACTGCAGCCACTGTTAATGGCTACTGATGTGTGACCGCCTGGTCACGAACATGACGAACGGCCCATTTTGTGATGGATCGCCCAATCAACTGCCAGGTTATAGTTCGGTCTGTGCCGCAGCACCATCATTCCGAGATTCAGTCATGTCACTTCTACAGTCACCAGGGATATCTGGCCATCTAGGAGGGGCAGAACATAAATCCCCAGGTTTAGCGATGTCACATCTACGTGATTTTAAATACAATATATTCATCATATAAGCGTGCTGATCCATTCACTTTGAGCTCAGAAACACATTTGTACAGCTTTAATGTCCCAACAGTCAACTTTACATAATGAATGAAATAAGATAATAACCAAATTACACTTACGAGTTTTCCTCAGGCAAAACTTCTTGCAGGTTGGGTTCTGGTGCCACTTTTGCAATATGCCAAAGAACTTGGCTACGCCAAAGCTGGTGTGTGGTGGTGTCCGCCTTGACGACTTTCGTCATGTTAGTTTAAAACCAAGTACCTTTCAACACCTGAACTGCGTTAGCTGAAGCATGGACCATGAAAATTTAGCAGAATGGTTACTCCCTGAGCATGGTCCTCTCTCTCTCTGTAGCTCAAGCATACTACTCAAATCCTCCCAAACTACTTCCCTCAACGACTATGAGGGTCACCTCATACAAGCTGCACACTACCTTTAATGTAACACCATTTACTGTTAACTCACTGGCAACAATAAAATAAAGAAACAACGACTGGAGGCGCAGCCTAACTCACGCTGCTAGCTTTATTCTACTTCAATTGCATACCTGCTAAACACTTCGTTTTGTTGCGCACCTGCCTGCCAAACACTTGTAAAGGGACTATGTCAGATATGTGAAAAATAGGTGAGAGTAATTAAGGAACAACTCCTGGTCAATAGGAAATCAGATGTAAAACCCAGTGAAATACTACTGTTGAAAAAACTTTGGAATTAACCATTTTCTCTGGGGTAAAGGAAAATTAACTTTAGATTCAACCATTTTCCACAAGGTAAGAGGGAAAAAAGAATGTGAATAAAAAGGTCTGTGACAGGCTCCCCCAACTCAAATTCAAACTCAATTCAATTATAGCACATAATCCTATCTAAATCCATCCAACCTGCCTATCCAACCCACTTTCACCCGTCCACCTGACCCACTTTCATCCATCCAACTCAACCCAAATATCATCCATCAGCCCAACCCAAATATCACCCATCCACCCAACTCAATTTCACCCGTCCAGCCTACCACTTCCCCCATCCCAACAAATACCCACTCAGTTGCTCGCTTCCAACTTCTGATTAAGGTAAAAGATTAAAACTGAACAAGGTCGTATTGCTCCAATACTTTACAGGAACTTGTCGCCCTGCTCATTCAGTATGGAGCAGATGTCACCATTGTCAATGGAGAGGGGCATATGGCTCGGGATATCACCCATGGTGACGAAGTTCAGAAGATGCTGATTGGTCAGTTCAGTGTAACATAATCTCTCTTCCAAAAATTCCCCTATTGGGAGGTTTTGGGCAGAAAGAAACACTACAGATGTTTTCTGCATGGACGAAATTCACTAGTGAAGAGATGTATACATTATTAGTTAAACAACCAAACAAACCAAGATTCTGTCCACAAGCAGGACACCTTATCACAATAGCATAGCTCACTGCTTCCAAACTCAGTCCCATTAGGACAGCTAAGACTTTGGTTTAGGGCTCAACTCCATGAAGTTTAGGGTTTTGTGCTTCCTGTCATCTGAAAATTAGTTTACAAGTTACTTTGCCGAAAGATTCTGCAAATAACCTTTTTTGTTCTGTTCGCTTCTGTGCTCAAATGTGACTTTTCCTCTGGACTCATTTGTGAAGTTCTGTACCACATTGATTTGTTCCCCTCCTGTTTTCTTCACAGCAACTGAGCAGGCTCAGAGGTTAAAGCTAGAGCAACAGCTCCTGGCTGCATCAGCAGAAGGCCTGTTGGACCATGTCCAGTCATTGGTCAGTAGATAAGAGCTGATTATTGGTGGATCCACTGATTGCATTAATAATGTGGTTAATAGTCCAGTGCTTAACCTCACTCTACTAGATTTAAGGGGATTTCAGATGGCAGAGTGGGTCATTGGCAGTTGACATAAAGTTGTTAACAGGATTTGAGAAGTGGAGGAACTTGGTGGATGGGTTTGAACATTTCCATATTCATGAGAAAAACTGTGCAGTCATACCTGGAAGAAAACCTCAGTATTACCGAGGTTTTTACATGCTGAATATGTTTTTAGCTGAGTTTTCTTTTTCTTCAGTGATTTATTATAGAAGTACCTAACATGCCAGTGAAAAACCGTTTCTCAGAAATGTTTTCAGTGAGTAATGTTTGGGTTGACAATTTGACGTGAAAAGCCAATCACAGCATCAGCATCTTTAGTCCTAACAGTCCCAAATCCTCTGATTTCAACCAGACTTTACATACACCTTTGGGCATTAGGATTAGTTGTCCAGGAAAGCACAGACAATTCTGAATGGATGCAAATCTGCCGTTTTCAATAATTATATGGAATGGTATAGTTCTTAGAGAATGAAGCAGAGTATGAAGTTTAAGAGAAAAATTGTCTGCAAAAGATTTATTATTGCTACCCTTTGGAAACTGGTCCTATCTTACATTTTCACAGTTGTTTGGTCCCCGCCCACCCAACATCAACTGCATTGACGTGACGGGAAACACTCCCCTTCACTGTGCAAGCTACCGCGACCAGCGGGACGTGGCCATGCTGTTACTGCAGCACGGAGCCAATGCCCGCCTCCCAAACAAAAAGGGACACACCCCTATCGACCTTGCCCAGTCACAGCACATGAAACAGTTGCTGAACATCAAACCTGTCAAGGTAACAGGCGAAATTTTAGACCAATATTTCTGTTTTCTCAGTAAGATTTACAAGCATTCTCTAGAGCTGTTTTTTGTTATGATTCCCTCGTGAAAGAAATCCACGCATATGTTGTGCTCTGTAGAGGAACAGTTTGTTACATTTTTACATAGCAACGACACCATTTTGGTGGGAAAGCACATTGTGCACACAGGGTTTTGCACACTTCACACAGAGTGCACCAAGTATGTACAACCGATTTCTATCAATATATAGTCTTTGCATGTGCACAGTGCGCGTGCATTTTAGCCCAGTTGAAAGACTTCCCACAAGCCTGTCTCATCCTCGCCATACTCCTAGTTTGAGCGGATGACTCAGTGTTTGACTGAACCTCTTCTAAACAAGCTGTAAGCCTTAAAACCATACAAGTACATTTGCATTGTAGAAGCCTGACCGATACAAGATCAAATTGTTGGTTTGTTTTAATAGGTTGTGCATAGTGTGGATAAAATCGAAGGTTCGCTACTAAGGGTGAGTGCATTGTAACATTTTAACTGTTTTCAAAATCATTGCTTAAAAATATTAGCATTAGCCTATAAAACCAGTGACCAAAATTGGAAGCCATTACTGTGATTGGTCCATGCTTGCATACAGGTCGTTCATACTTATCAAGGCTGGATTTCACTGTGAATTAACGTGAAAATGAACACGAAAATTGTCAGAGCAAACCTTCGTGCTGCCAAATTGTAAACGTACACTTGAAAATCAAATTTTCTTCGCTTTTCACATATGCCTGAAGTATGAGCCAGCCTTTAAATGACCCTTTGACCAAAACTTTGTTGCGACATTCCAATATGCCTGAAGTTTCGGAACATGTGCGAGTGCAGTGCTGCTGCAGTAATGGCATGTTCTTGATGTTCTTGGGGAATTAGCCTGTAGTGTTGTTGACATCACAAGTTATCCAGTTTTCACGCCAAAGAGCCCAAGGGAGGGAGCAGAATCCTTGTCGATTACTTTTCCGATACTGTTGCAGTGCACTTTTTCTATGTGCCGGGCCTCCAGGAATTTGACCACTAATATTTTGTGCTAATTTTGACACTAATTTTGTGACGACTGGCCATGTGACAGGACTTGTGCCTGGACCTGTAAGAGGACTTGTGATGGAATCGTCTTCACCACTGACTAATTGTTCCTGAACATTTCACCCAACTGGAAGAAATGACTCACAATTTAATTGGTGAAGTTTGATTTTTAATTACACGCCTTCTTGCCCGATAGGAGTTGTCATTGTCCATACCTGCAAAGTATCTAAATTCATCATGACGTCTAAGAGTGCGATACCCCAAAATAGAAAAACTTATGAAAATGTACCTCAGAATGAATTCGAAAAGTGAACACTTAAGTGAGTAAATGTTGCTCATTATTTTCTTTACCCCTTCACGCTGGGATGCATTAAGACACGCCGTAAAAATTGAGATCCTCAGCCCGCTTTTTTCAGCTATTATTCTTGGCCCACGCTCGGGCAAACATGGTGAAAGAAGGCAGACCCTGGCTCTTGTGTATATGGTAATTGGTCTTTGTGTGTAGCCCAGAAATGAAAAGGCCGAATTTGCATCATAATCACCAGCTTCACAATAGTCCCCACTTTGAAAAGAGGCAACAGGAATGTGGAAGCTTGAGTAGAGTCGCATGCCACGGAACAATCAGCCTTTTCACTGTGTAATTCAAAGCGTGCAGAGCACAGTGGGCCACAAACTGAGAATTTGCAGTTTGGTAGGTGGCCTTCGTGGCCAAGTGAGGCTGGAATTCTTGGAATCTGCTTTCGGAAAGAAATTCCCGCCGAGAAGGGGTTAACATCTGTGCAAATGCAACAGATCAAAGTCCAACAAAGCTGGGAAACGCTCCCGAATGCAACAAAGTGCAACCAAAGCAACACTGGATTTTGTTGCATTGTACCTATGCATCCCTTGTCTCAGTATTACATGAGCTGTTATACATGTACATTTGTGTAATCTGCCAATTGTCCTGACTACTAAATCCAACAGTGTACAACCTAATCACTGTTTTGTTTTGCTGCATTAAACATGGAAGGACAAAGATTCACTTGATGGGAAAGGTTTTTTGTACCTTTGATGACATTTTTCTTTGTATGTATTTCAGAGCAAATTTACACGTGGCCTGAGAAAGTACTGGGTGGTTCTAGATAGAGGTATACTAACGTACTACAGAAAAAGGTAGTCTTTAGCTTGTTTTAATAAACCCTTTCTGTTTGTAGGTGCCATTTTGGTATTCCATGTTTATGCACTTTGTGAGATTTGATTTGTGAGTTTTTGATGGGCCTGACTCTAAGATTTGAAGCACTCCAAACCGATGTTGTGCATGCCTCACGCTCAAATGTATCCGGAGTTGCTCGGACACACACCCTGCCATGGAGTTGCATTCTTGCTATTGGCATACAGAACTGTTGAATGAACATGTGAAAAAGAACAAAAAAGAGAGAAGAAAACAGTCTGTCTGTAGGTTGTGAACCAAGGCGGAACTAATTTAAGAACAGGTTTTTGCCCTTACACCGACATGTATACTGGTATGTAACACTGGATGCTCAGTGTTTGTCCAAGAGCATGCAAAAACATTCACAAGTTTACTTGGGTGGGACCCGAACCCATGACCACCTGCTTACTCGTGCAGAGATCTTAACCACTCGGCCACCAAACTTGCCAGGGTCGGCTGGCCAGTCCGTGATTGTGAATTTTTTTTCCGCCAGCTCTCAGACAAACACCGAGTATTTTATATACATTGGTGTAAAGGCAAAATTTGTTATTAAAATTGGCATATTACCGATGCAAAATACATCTTTTAATAAAACACTGGGGTAGTCTGGCTGATTAGAGAGAAAAAAATTATTTTTGAGCACTCTTGTACAGGCACAGGTATGTTGGTGTGGCTGCACAATTGCACAGGCCAAAATCAGACATCGCACTGTACTCTCATGCTTTTCATGTTCTGCACAATTCATACTAATTAAAGGTTGAAATCTCACGGACACAAATCTCACCGACACAACATTTGAGCGTGATTCTTCGAGATTTTTCAAACTAATCATTGGTCTGTCATTGCAGTTTTGTTTGTTTGTGTGTTGTTTCCTTCAGAGATGATGCTGTGGCGGGCATTAAGCGTGTAGGATTCAGGTACCTTGATCATGCCGAATTTAAGGTGAACATTCTGTCAAGTTGTTTCCATTTGCCCCATCAGTCCCAACTACAGTCATTTGCAAAGTGTTATTATTATTTATTTCTGTTAATGACACCAAGGATTCCTCAAAAGTGCCCTAGGCACTGTAGCTTGCAAGCGTGATGAAACCTGTAGAGAAGAGACAGTAGGAAGCAGTTACAGTTTTAGAGGTGGGAGAGAAACCCCAGAGGAATATTCTGGGTAAAACCCATGGAATCAGTTTGGGACTGAAAACCCAATCCACATGTTGACCGAGCCGGGAATCGAACCCTGACCGCAGAGGTGGAAGGCGAGGAAAGAACCACTGCGCCAACCCGACTCCCCAATTACAGGTGTTAAGACCACCTGTTATTTTGTTGGTATTTCTGTCATGAGGCCTGCATTACAGTATTTCATTGAATGATTATATAACGTGTTGTTTGCAGTCTAGTGGTCCATAACATCCGAGTCATGCTATGAGCCATTCGAATGAATTTCTTTTACAAAGGCAGGCCTTGTATGGCATGTTGTCAGTAATGCAGCTTGGATAAAAAAAGCCAGTCTAAGTCATCAGAAATAAAGGAGGAAACACTAAACATTTCAAATCATGGGAATGCAGTCAATGCTAGATACCAAGGTTACACACTGAAAATAAACGTAAGTTGCTGAGAGCGACTGGTTAAGTTTGCTTTTTATGTATTTTGCATGGGTGAACCTAAAGTTCTGCAGATTGCTGTACACGTAGATACATGTATGTTGCGTATCTCGTATCAGAGGTGATTGATCTATCAGGTCCATTCTTGAACTGTAAAGCACGCTATGAAGACTGGCCGTGAGGTCAAGGGAAGGGTGCTAATTTTAAGGGGGAAAGGTCATTCAGGATAAAAACCACCTGGTATAAAAGCCATGCTAATCATGGTAGATTTTGTACATACATGGGTCGAGTTATGGTGGTCTGTTCTTGATGCAGGTTTCTTGTTCTCGCGCTCGAACAGCAGGAACACAACTCAAGAACACTGTTCTTGGAACAGGATCACACACCACCTCCTTGTCAGGGTTTTACAGGAACACACAGAAAATCTCGTGACATTTTGATTTTTGAACAGCTGCAAAAAGTAGAGAGATGGCTCACAAAGCCAGAGATAATTGGAAGTTTTGCAAAATTGACATTAATTATTTTCATAACACAGAAATGAATGTTCCTATTTAAATAAAAAATTCATCCCAGTTATCTAAACATTAACTCTCAAATAACATACATGGACGCCGCCGTCTTGCATGTTGCTAGCTACTAACTACCAGCAACAACCAGTTGTATGTTCCCGGCGTTTGAGCAGCTGACTCACAAACCAATCTATTCATGAACATACAAGAACAAGCCGCCCAAACTCAGCCATGGCGACAGTCTCAGATGACTTGCAATGTGCTTCGTTTTGCTCATGCTCTGTTGGAGAGATCAATTGGCTTAATTGCAGGCCCCTTTACCTTTAGATCAACTATTTTGTAATACCAGTGCCAAGCATGACTGTCACATCGGGGAGAAGAAGGGATGCTTGTGCCTTCCCTTGGGAAAAAAGGGGAAGACAAAGTGAAATGAAACAAAAGGAGATGAAAGGAGATCCCCCATTGACTTGAAATTACTTCAGAATTGACCCCCTTTTGCCTCAAGTCGTTTAACCCCTCCCCGGAAATTTGTTCCCATTGAAAAAATGCTTTGCACCCCCCCCGAAACAATCCTTGGCATACACCCATTGTGCGAGGCACTCAACATTTACAGGAAATCAAAGACAGGATTGATTCCAGCAAAAACAGTGTACTGGGGTTATTTTCTGCTAGTTGGTATGAGGGGTGGCCTTGAACAGACCAGTTTGATGGTAACATTGTTGGAGCACGTTTGAGACTGCCATTTATTAACACGTAATACACACTGCGTCACAGAAATTTTTTTGAAAAGCACTTTGGATAAAGTCTCAAAGTTTCAGTGCTTATACATACAGGAACAAACTACTTACGTTACATACCTAGTGTGGACATTTTTCTGTTTTCACGCAGTTAAGAAATTCAGTGAAAAGACTCATTTTTCTTGAGCTGGGACATTGCCAAAGGTTTCCTTGACTGTTTCTTTTCCTTTTGTCAGAGATAACCCTAACTCCACAATGCCTGTAAACTTCTTTTTTTAGAGAAGGGGAAGCATCCTGTGGGCATGGGTAAATCCACAAAATGTCTTCCCTTCCTGCATCATGTGGACATCTTTATTCAATAGTCCACACTAGGTATGTAAGGTTAGTGCACCTACTGGTGTTGTGTTATGCTGCACAGGAGATGGCATCCTGTTTTTTTATATTTCTTACAATATAACACTCCAGTAGATTAATCACAGGCATGCTTCTCCTCTGCAGTAAAGTAAAACATGTACACTTTAAAGCCCCAATACCATGCACCAAGATTGACCATCAGGAGTATGTGTGCTGATGATGTCACTCTTTGTGATATCATCATTTGCTTCAACTTGTCTCCCTCTCGCTTCCATTAAAAGTTGTACTTGCAAACAAACCCCCGACATCATTGGTACGTTGGCAGAGAGCTTGGTAGTATTTTGTACTCCAGGGCTAATGGGTGTAATTATCGAGTTTATCCCACGTCACATATCTGCGGTTTCCATTGTTTTTCTACACACACAGGTAATGGCTGGTAGGCCTTTCGAGGTAGACCATGTGTTGCACATTACTTGGCTGGCTGTATGCAGACAGTTGTTATCAGTGGGGGAGGTGTAATCCGTAGGGGCGAGGAAGAGGGCGTCATTTTTTAAGGAATTCAAAGCACTACCAACTTTTTTTTGGAGGGGGTGGGAGATGAGGATTCCTTTACTGGTGAAATGATATGGATAGGTATATTTAGAGAAAAGTCAGGTTTCTCCTCCTGGACCCAATAACCTTGATACACCACACTATACCAGCTGGTGAAACCAACACCTCTCTTCAATAAATCTTTCATTTTTGTTTTTCTTTTATTTGAATAAAATCTGGTTCACTGAGTTTTTTAATTCACGAGAGCATAAGAATTTGAATTCTCTATCCTAAAGACACTGTTGCTATACCTCGTGATTTGGGGCAAGCTTTTGCTTAGTTGAGTAAGAGACGCCTTGCACCAGTACACTCTTTTCAATGGATAGAAGGGCATAAAGGAACCAGTCCATTCCAGAGATGGTAGGCGCTATGCAAAAACTTGCCCCCGAATCACAAGATACAGCAACAGTGTCTTTAGTCTGAAGAATTTAAATTTTATGTTTATGTGCAATCAGATAACTCAGTGTACCAAATTTTATTGAAATTTAACTGGCAGAAGGATTATTGCATCAGAATATGGTCTACTAAAGATGAAGTCACTCCAATTAATGGTTTCTAAATACTGTGCACAGATGACTCAAAGGAGTCAGTCAGTATTTGACATAGTTTTTTAAAATTCTCTTGCCTTTTTTTTTTTCACAAATCAAGTTTACCTGCCAAAGTGTGGGTAATATTTAAAATGGAATGTAACAGTTTCTTTATGTTTGACAAATTCCCCTTGCAGCCTAGTCCCACCAACTCCAACATCTTCACAGTACAGTACTCTAACAACTCCTTGCATACCTGGATCCTGGATTCTGACACCTCCAAATTCTCCAGGGAGGTGAGCATGTCTCAAAAACTCGTGTGTGAGCTTATCTAGTTGGTAGAGCTCGAGTTGTACTTGAATCACAGTCCATGTCTGAGACCTAGATCAGACTAAATCCAGCAACCAATTTCCCAGAACTGTTCATAATGTCATAGTATACACATATGGACTGACATTGAGGTCACTCATGCACGTCTATGTCTGCAAGGGACTGTGAGTGACCAGAAGAGGGTCCTATTTCCCGAGGCCAAAGGCCGTCCTGGTCACAGACCCCAGTGGGCATGGGCGTGCACTAGTGACCGAATTTGGCCAGTCCATATGTTTTATAACAGACCTCAAACTAGAAAAATATTTCTTCAGAGTTTTAACTGTTTTACTTCAACTTTCAATAGGACTTCAACAATTGCCAAAAAATTAAAGGTTCATTTTAGTGTCCCTTGACGCAGTCTAATTTTGAGTTGCTATACTCAACAAGGAAAAGAATTCTTCCAGGGTTTTTAACTGTTTAAATTCAACATTTCACCCAATACCAATTCAAAAATTTAGTTTTCATAGACACACTCTAATTTTTAGTTGCTGTGTACAACTGTCAATTCAACAATAGCCATAGCAACCTCCAGAGGGAGCAATAACCAGTCAACCATTTTCAATACTAGTGCCTGACTGGGCACTAGTCTCTGGAAGTGATGCGCGTGCAATGTCTAGGCGCGTGTCGAGTTATGCTGATGCCAAATTCATGCACTAGCCCATATTAGTGAACCACATGTGACTGTATTTCAGCCAACCAGGATAAAGAACCAGGAAGAGGTGTGTTATAACTTCACTTATGCCATGTTCTATAGCGTAAAGTTGTGCAAGAGGCTATGACATATTTCATGAAAGTTATTCAGTCCGGAAGGTACTTTTCAGAATTGAATTAGACTGCTGTGATTGTAACATAGATCAACTGGGTACAAGTGCATCTTAGTTTAATCACAGATAAGACTTTTGTATACAATCTGTTGTAAAAAATTTTAAAGAAAAGTTTGGAAGGATTTTATGAAGACTTTTCTTCTTCTTTTCATAAAGAAAACGGTTTGAAAAATTTACCATCACAAATCCCTGGTCCAAGAAAGCAAACGTTGAAACATTTTTGCTGGGGTTTTAAGTCGTCCTCCAGACTCCCTATTTCTTTGTTTTTGTCAGGACTGGCTGACTGCCCTGGAGGACCATCGGGCTTACAGTGACTACTACACTACGGCCAGGACGGTAGATGACGACTATGATGAAATCAGCGAGGACTTCCTTCCCCTGGTCTCAGTTGCTGATTCCCTAAAAGTACTTTTGTAATATCAGTTTAATATTTTAATTAAGACAAACAAATAGAATATTCATGTACAACAGTATATTCAGATATGGACTGACAGTGAAGTCACTAGTGCACTTCTATGCTCTGAGAGGGCCTGTGAGTGACTAGAAGAGGGTCTTATCTTTCAAGGCTGAAGGCCAAGGGAAATATGATCCTCTTCTGGTAATTGTGAAGTGTTGTTTCATCTCCGACAGACTGCACAGGCACGGCAGAGGTTGTTGGAGCAGTCAGCCGAGAACTTTCAGAAACTTGTGGAAACTTGTCTGAGCAGGAAAACTGACGACCAGGCTTCAGCTTTGGAGTATCTCGGTAAGTGAAACCAGTGCTCATGCTAACTGAACACAGCTTCCCTCCTCACAGGGTATGTTGAAGTGACCCCGAAACCAGAAATGTCTTGCTGACGTCAAAGTAATAACCATGTTAAACCCCGGAACATGTTAAACCCTGGCAATCTTCAATCCTCAAACTGTTGGAAGAAGAACTGGGAGTTAAGATGGCCTGCATAAATGCCAAATCAGAAACAGTTACTTGATTCAATAGAGACAAAGTATGAGGCAGTGGATGATATTGTTGACAAATATGTATTCAAATTTTCAATGCAATTGCTCTTTCTGAAGAATGTACGCATCTCTGTTGGCTGCATACATGGAAATGTCTGATTCATTATTTGGGGACAACAAAATATAGGGCTTTTTGAACCTGTGATAAACCTACTCCAAATTTCAGTTCTCATTTGGTCAGAAAAATGATGCCCCACAGCCGTAACTGAAATCGTTAAACTAGTCAACCAGTGACCTAAGCATGTTTCCTGTCTGGTTGTGATAAAATGCCCCTACTTTCATAATAAACAGATCTTTTCTATGACCAGAAACTACCGAGCTGTCCCAGGGATATGTTTGACCATGGCACCGATATCTCTTCGTCTTTGTGCTCATTTTGTTGTTTTATCTGTAGAGAGCCTACCCGAAGTTCAGCGGCAACTAGCCAGCCTGACAGATGCATCCAAGAGTCTGTGTAGCACGTTGGCACAGTGCCTAGCTTCTATGGCGCAGCAGGAGGAGGTACGTACATGTATGTAGATTAACTTAATTAAATTTAATGCGCTTGTCCATACAGTATATGAAGCAAAAATGCAACATTGGCCGTTTTCCAATACTCAACTTCATCTCCGTCTCAGACTTCGTGTGGGAAACCAATCCTCGATTGTGGGCCTGGAGGTTTAACTTAAATTTAAGTACTGTAATGTTTGGCTCTTTTGCATCTTACTTGATGTTTTGTGGCACTACAGTGGAACGCCGCTATAACGAACACGACGGGATCCATGCTAAATGTTCGGTACAGGGGTAGTTCGGTATAGTGAAATTAACTGCCGAACTTTTCGTTGCCATGTTGAAAAGCACCCTCTCTTGTCTAACTGAAGTGCACCCTCTTGTAATACTATGATTCGCTGTTTTCGTTGTTTTGCGGTTGCATTTGAGGTTTCTAGAAATGTATCTGTAAATTGTTTTTGTTTTTTAAATTAAATCTTGAGTTACAAAATGGATATTCAGTTTGTCCTAAAAGTCGTGAAGCTACCGCTCAGGATCAATCTCTGATGCATGCTGTGGCGAATCTTGGTTGATTTGCAACTGCATAATGTTGGTATATTTTGTGCACAAAATATTAGGAGCCAAGGACGATGTTTTGTACAGCCGAATGTTCGGTATAGTGACGTTCCACTGTATCAGACTTACTCTTGTGCTTACAACCTCAAAGTCAGGAAGTAAAAAAACAGTTGAAGCCTCAGACGGAGCCCAAGTCAAGTATTGGAAAACAGCCGTTGTTTACAAGAAATGAAACATTGTTTACAAGAGGGCATGCCCGTGCACCCTTCAACAAACAGCACCCACAATAGGTCAGGAACACGGACGACAATAACATTGTTTGTTCGTCAAAAAACGGTACTAGTGGAGTCACTTCATGAGTGTTGTGAACAGGGAGAAGATGAAAGATGGTACTAGTAAATTCCTTTCTTTAAGTTTTTGGATTAATGATTTTGTTACAAGGAGGCGCTATGGAAGATTGGAATAGAAATATAAATAAACTTCACATCTGAGTGAAAGTCAACCACTCTCTCACTGGATTTGTAAACAGGGAAATTAGCCACAAGCAGGAGAAATGTTTAAAAACACTGATTCTTTTTCAGGTTATGTGCCTTGTGATGATATTGTAAACTGCTTTGATCATTCGCGACAAATGGTGCTTTTTTATGTATGGATCACTGTTGGAGAAATAAATGCACGAAGAGAAAATAAGAATGGACAGGCCTGGTAGTGTGGAAGTTTGATTGTCATGTGGCCCCATCTCAGTGAGCTTTTTTGTCGTTTAGAATTAGTTACTGATAACTTTCAGAGCAACAGCAAATAAAGTTGTGGTATGGAATCTTTTGCTCTTGTATGTAATTTTTGGCCAGTCCCCTCCAAACAAAAGGCTTTGAAGTCGGAGGATTTGTTTAGAGCCTCTAAATAAATGGAATGAGTTGGAGGGTCATTTGCACTTGGAAGGGGTTGGGCGTATTCCTGACTTCAGGTTTCACTTGAGGTCAGCATGTTTAACTATTGTAGTGTTTTGTCTGCAAAGTGTGGGGTATCATTCTTATTGCCAGTCAAAATGTGGAGGATGTGACGAGTTGAACGAGATAAAATAGTTGAGTAATTACTTGTAATTGATTGAATCCACTTCTTGCTGGCCCAGATGGCAAGAATGAATAAAAGAAGGAAGTTATTTTGAAACTAAATTTCCTAACTAAATTTGTCCAACTATGAACTGGATAAGATAAGATTTTTTGTGTTTGAGCAAGTTTATTTCGGTTTCTACGAGTTTCACGTCAAAAACAGTTCGTTTTGCCCCTTTCACCTGGTGAAAAAAAGTTTGGATTTTATTCGTGTTTAAAGATTTTTTTGGACAGCTCAACACTCAACTTTTGCAACCATAGAAAATAAAGACTGGAGAGTGGGGACACTATCTGACATATAATATTACGTGGAAAATAAATTGAACTGAACGTAACCTCAGACAGGGTGCACAAGTTGGTGTGATGTTTTCCCGGGCGGGATGCTTTGCCAACTTAAGATACAGTACATGGGCGCCCTCTGTTGTTTAACTCTTACGATTTTGTAATTTATCAGCAAGTTAAGGGGTGTGCACGAGTGCCAGTCAATCAATTTCTTGGCGAGGTGCAAGCTGGAAATTGGTTGTGTTTTTTCACAGTTTTGCTGAATGTGGATCGACTGTGTTTTGGAATGCGATTGTCATAAAGTTTTGTCATCTTGGTGGAATATTTTTCCGATTCATTTATCTCAAGGTAAGATTCTGAGAGTTTGGATTTATTTGCGAAATGCTGCCGATCTTGCGGAATGAAACGTACGTGTGTATGTACGGTACGGACAGCAGGTACAAACTGCCGTGTACGTCACTGCTCGTTTACACTACTAGATTACGAGGCTTAACAACCAGCTAAACCTTACTTGAAGTGTACGTGCGATCAGGTCAGATCACGCCAGAGTTTATTTTTGGGTTTTATGCCGTGAAGTGATTATAAACTCTTGTGATTTGTACTTGAGCATATTGAGTTTGTGGAACTGGAACTTCAATGGGGATTGTAAAGTTTGGGGACCCAATCCATCTTGGAAGAGAGGAGACCTACTTTTAACTTTCTGATTCACTTGCCGTCGGAGGTTTTTCCATTTATTGCACTCACATCTAGTCCAAGAGGCAACTCTTCATTCACTTTGTACAGGGATTTGCATGTTTTCCTCCTTTTTTGCTGCAACATGATTTGCAACTGAAACCATTTCAGTAAAGTGTGGGATATATTCACAGTGTATAAATAATGAAATTTTAGGCGCATTGATGTACATGGAGGCTAGAGGGTTAGAGTTTAGTCAATTCAGATTTTCTTCATGGAGCGGAAGACTATTTTTACCCCTTTGAGTTTCAAGTGTGAAATATGGCATAGCCACCAAGTGACCAATCAGAGAGAAGAATCAAGACTCAATGACATCATCTTTCACGCTCAATAACTGTGGGGCTAACGTTTTGAAAAGTGGACAGATTTGTGAAATTTAAGGGAAATTATGAGGGGAAACTGTTTTAATACATAGGCCTAACACCAAAAAAAGGGTCAGCGCAATAAAGAGAGCATTGCATTTAGGAAGACTGACTAGTTTTTATAAAATTAAAATGACAAAAAATAGGGGTTCCCAAGTGTACAATACCACTATAATGGCACTAGAGCCATCAATTTTGACAGGCTCAGACTGTTTACGCACTAGCCCCACTAGTGTGGCACGGACTCTCACTCCCGATCCATCCTTAGCCACACATCCGTATACGCAATGTCGTGTCGGCGTACTGAACATTTTCGGCACACCCACTTATCGTGGGCGCAATTTCTTTTGCACATGAACATGATCCTTGACCTTTCCGCTTTCTAAAAACCATTTATTGAATGATTTCACTCACGTTATTCAGGTATTTTCCAGTCTTTTTGCCTTTGTCCATTCAATCTAACGGGCTTGCTCTCTCAGTCGCCATCTTCAAAATAAGGTCGTTGAACAATACGTCACTTGACTGTTCTTGACTTGGCTGTTCCTTGTCAAGACATCTAAACTGCTGCCAAAGTTTTGGAAGAGTCCATTAGTACATGTAGTATCTTATCGCTCAGTCCGTTTATTACATATGTCTTGACATGGAACAGCCGTCGAGACGATGAGGGGTCAAGTGACATATTGTTCAACGACCTTATTTTAAAGATGGCAACTGAGAGAGCGAGCCCGTTTGATTGAATGGATAAAGTTAAGAACATATTGTACTCAAATTTTTGATGCAGCCAAACTTAAAGATCATTTTCAGTGGTTGAAAGGTGTAAGACCTGGCAGATATGCTGGCATAGTGAGAGTGATTATAAACGGCAAGAGAATGAAGATAGCCAAACTTTCCTCATCATTTTCTGTCAACTTTGTGCTCTTTTTTTCGTGACTTATATTTTTAAAAGCTATTTCTTAGGTGCTTTAAAATACATCAGTCAAAAAATGTACCAAATTCTCAAGTGTTGTTGAGAGAAGTTTTGAAATCAAGTCCTCTGGTGTAAACACTGTGACGTAAAACTTAAAATGAATTCAACTCCATTTGATTTGCACTGGTAGCCAGACAAACGCTGTGCTTAGTACAGCAGAACACAGACACGCTGTTTACAGGAATCAGTCAAAATTGCTGTTTGGGGCTTGATTATTTTTAGAGAATTTTTTGTTGGCTTTAGTGTTTTCTGACCAAGAAGTGATGTTTCCCTTTCCACCTATTCACCTCTCCTCAATTTCTTCCTTAATATGTGTAAATTTTGCAATCAACAAACTTTTGAATGTTTTAAAACTCCAACTTCTTGTTGATCTTTTTAACAAAATTATGATGAGAGTTAGAACAAAACTAGTCTCGGCAGGAATCGAAGCAGAGATGTACTAACCTTAACTTACATGTATAAAGTGAGTTTCTCAACCACTGAACTAGATGCAAGTTACCGGTATCTACTTGGGAGCATTTCTTCTGGTCTAACTCACTAATATCGCTGGTACAGTAAAATCTTGATAAGTCAAAGCCCGTTAAGTCGAAACTCCGTTTACCTCGATGTCTTTCTGTATTCCCAACAAAAGAATAGGCCCTTATGTACAATAAACTATCCGTAACTCGAAACGTCAATACCACTAAAGCCGCTTATCTCGAAGTTTTTGCAGGCCAATT